TATATTGAATATTTTGTATTACACAAGGTTGTTCCAGGCCCATTATTTGGTTTGCATTTTGTCAATTTCTAATTAATTTTCTTGTACACTTATAGACTAATAAAGTTTGCAATTTCCATCTAAATAGGGAAGTGGAGGGAGGACGTTGTTATATATCTTTACCACAGCTGACACTGTCAATGAAATCCTTCAAAGTTATGATAACAATCAGAGACACAAAAACGAAGAATGAGAAACGTTAGAGACTGGGCTTGCTCTTCACAATATGAATAGGTATAAATATATTGAAATGAAAGAATAAGTTTGATTGCAGAACAAAATTATTTGACACAATGTGCAACAACATAAAACATAACAGAAGACAAAATAATAAGTTGAGGAGATATACAGAAATAAGCCCCACCAACAACCTTATGCATTGTTTGTGAGAAAACACAAAATGATTAGAAGTAGAATGAAGAATGAAAAATGAAGTAGACAAAAGTCAAAAAATGGATTACCAACTGGAACATAGTGTGAAATTCAACCTAAAGTACTAAGTAATTGATTAAGGACAATGAAGGACGAACCAGCTGTAGAGTTATGTGAGACAGCGGCTGCTATTGTACATTATGGTGCCGGTGTCCATTCTGTTTACCACTTTGGGGAAGAGCGGATGTTTTGATGAGGAGCACTGGGGGATGAATCAAGGGGAAGAAGCTGTTCTTCAGCCTTGCTGTTTTGGCTCCAATTATCCAGAGATGCGTCCTGGAAGGAGGAGTGTGTACAATGTGCATGGAAGAGGTTGTATTTTGGGGAATGGGGATCTTGTTGGACATGATCTCTGGTTACTTTATTATTTGTTTGGTCTGGTGCTATGCTGTGTGGCCCGAACCAGAGAGCAAGGTTTTGTGTAACGATGGACTGGATGTTGGCTATAGGCCACACTGCTGTCGCTGACCAGCTGTATGTTCTCAGCTGTTGCATGAGGTGTATCCCCTGATGAGCCCTCTGATTTAGTGTTAGTGACCCCAAAGGAAGATTGTCTAGCAGGCCTACCATTTCCTGACTGTTATAAATTCAGTGATGACAGTACTGAGCAGAGCGTGTTAGCGAAATGGAACGATGAGAATTTCCACTACTTGCTCAGAGAGCTGTTAGTTCCCTCAAAGGTTACCTTGTAATTTAATTTTAGGTTAAACCTCTTCAAGCTGTATGATAAAGCTGTATGCCAGGGAAACACAGAACACACACACACAGACAGCCCCGCTTAAACAATGAAATAATTCAAGTTATTATAAAGATCATCTATATGTGTGATTAGAAAAGGATAGAGGACCAGAATCTAGGCTTGCTCACGTACAAATTGACAATGAATGGGAAGGGTGGAAATGACTAATCCTGGGGACACGTATAGTGGTACCACCGTTAGGCACACCAGATAAAAACCGGAGCGGGATGGAGGGTGCAACGCAAATCCGCGTTGTGCTGTGCTGTGAGAACAAGAGACAGTTGTATCAACTCTTTGTAAATTGTAATTAGTGTTTATTGAGATTGACGCCACTAAATCAAATCGTGTTGCACCATACAAATTCTTAGGTATAGCTTAGTTGTTACTAAATGTTTACACTCTGTAACTGCCAGGGGTAACTGTTGCGTAGCTAACAGAAGCAACTGCCAAACATTAGCTTGCTAATATATAACCCATTTAAATTAAATATAAAAAGGGACATTGTGAAACATTTAGGAGAGTCTTTTGGCAGAAATGGAATATAGTATGCATAACTGTTTTCATTAGTGTATAATCACCTGAATAGAGGAACGCCCTCGCCAGAGTCAGCCACGTTGAAGTGCCATGTTTCTACAGTAGCCCAGAATGGACAAACCAAACACTGGCTCCAGATAGGGCCTTCCATGTTTATTGTGAGTTTCGCAGCTACCATAGTTTCTCCTGCATGCTTGTAAGGTGAGTGGCATTCAGTTGGTTGTAATCTGCAACTTCACCACTAGATGCCACTTAGTCCTATAAACTGGTCCTTATATGGTGTAAACCCATTTAGAAAAGCACTTGTTTGTAACTAGCTTAGGTACTGTGAATAGAGTAAGATATTTGTGAATAACCGGTGCAATCCAGGAGACCAGGAGCCAGGGGCACCGCCAGGAATTTTAGGCCCCATGACAAAAAAATCTAATTGGGCCCCCTCTGAGCAGCTGTGTCACCACCATTCTAGACTACTCCATCAAAAGTATAACTCTAATTAAAGGCTTGAATGTCCTTGCTTTTGTATTCAATTATACTACACAATATTTACTGCTGGTGATTTACATGCATGCAAGTCTGCATTCACAGCCTATGCGGCTTCACTATTGATGCAAGATTAAAATGCAACCAGAAACACCTCTAAGGCCATCTTTTCAGTCCACGTATTTTTATTGTAAAATTCAAATGAAAATCTTAATGAAATTCATATTCATTTTATATACTATTAATAAGATTTAAAAAAAGAACGAACAAATAATATAATTAACTTCAATCAAAATAAATTAACATATCTCGAACCGATTTTTTACTTAGTGCATACATGCCAACAAAAATATAATGGCATGTCATTGAACCAATGTTGGTCACCTTCTACTGGACAGGGAGGTGGTACAGTTATGGGGAACTGGGTGTGCTGATCATCGTTGTTAAGTCTGCTAAAAGGGGCAGGCAATGATTTTAGAATTCTATAATTCCTGAACTGATTAAATGGTGATTAAATGTAGGCTAACATAGCATAAAAGCCAACAGGTTAATAGCACTTCACAGCACATAGCTAACCCACCTTCTTGGGTGAAAAACTGGTAAAATTTATCCTTCTTTGTCCTTCCTCTCTCTCTTTCTCTCTATTTTTGACCAGATTTGATTTACTAGGGACATGTTGATCGCGATTGTGGCGCATGCGCATTACTGCTTGCACTAACTGAAAGTCGCTTTAAAGCAGATACTCTCC